TCTTGAGTCTGGCCAATCTGGATTGCCTTTAGCTTTAAAACAATCCACATGTCATGGTGCATATTTTGGGGTCATGTTTCTGCTCCCCTTAGTCCTGTGTTCATGGATGAAGGACTGTCCATCCAGTGTCTGTGCCCAGTTCCTCCAACACTTGTTGGTTGACAGCTGTCTCCTGTGGATAGGAGCCCTTCAAAACACAGCCTTTTAGCTTCCACCTGTTTTTCCTTTTGCCACAGGACTTGGCAATGGGATCTGGTGAAAAACAGATCTACTCAGTGACCCCTTACCCCATCAGGGTATCTGGAAAATAAAATAGTTACTCAGAAGAATGGCAAAGGAAGGGGGTTGCACAATTGGAAGGGATATTTTCTTTGTAATTAAAAAAATGTTTATTTTGGGGCACCTGGGTGGCTCAGTCGGTAAGTGTCAGATTTTGGCTCAGGTCACGATCTCATGGTTCGTGGGTTCGAGCCCCGTGTCAGGCTCTGTGCTGACAGCTAGCTCAGAGCCTGGGGCCTGTTTCAGATTCTTATCTCCCTCTCTCTCTGACCCTCCCCTGCTCACGCTGTCTCTCTCTCAGAAATAAATAAAATATTTAAAAAATTTTTTAATGTTTATTTCTTTTTGAGAGAGAGAGAGAGAGAGCGTGAGCAGGGGAAGTGCAGAGAGAGAGGAAGACACAGAATCTGAAGCAGGCTCCAGGCTCTGAGCTGTCAGCACAGAGCCCAACGTGGGGCTTGAATCCACAAACCAGGAGATCATGACCTGAGCCCAAGTCAGAAGCTTAACCAACTGAGCCACCCAGGCAACCCCAGAAGGGAAATTTTTATACAGACTATGATAAAATCTGGTGAATTCTCTCTGTACCACATCGAAGTACACCTTGCTACTGACCACGGCACTCCTGTCTGTCACATTCAGTGTTCTCTTTCTTCTGGAACAGCGCTGGGTAAACACCAAGACACTCCTTGGATCATCTTTTTGAACATGCAGACCAGCCTTTCAATTAACATATTCTTTAAGCAGAAAATTATAATACAATTGACCATATTAAGGGGGCTTTCTTCTTCTTTTTTAACATTTAGTGGTATTTGGATGAAACAGTATTCTCTCAATTTGATCTGGTGGTTCCTCAAACTGTTTTTTCAGATGAGTTACTTCCATGGATGGTTAACTTCAGCCATTATTCATTGGTTCTTATTAGTTCCACTGTCAGAGATTTGCCTTTTCAAGTTCTGACTATACCTTACCAAGCTACCTCTCTGCCAGTCATTATCATTATGATGTTCATTGTCTTCATCATCATAATGATAAAGGAGGGTTTTTTTGGTGTCAATATGGAATGATCATTTTAAAACTGAGCTAATACTTTCCCCTCCTTATACCTCCCATCATTTCCCATCTTACTCAGAATAAAATCTAAACTCCTTAGCATGGTGGAGTGGTCAGCTGTTGGTGTTGCCAGTCTATCCTCCAATCCCTCTTTTGGCTGAACACCTTAAAGTTCCCTCATACTCTTAGTGTATATCCCAGATAGAACTAATCCTTTCCTCATATCTGAAGTGGGTGCTTTCCTTGGGACTGACCAGTCAGCATATTCATTTCCCTGGCCACAGTGATAGGATGGTTCACAGATAAATGACCCCAGTTGGCCCAGTGAGGATCAGATATGAAAATATTGCTGCAATTCTTAGAAGAGGAGTACAACCCTCTGGGATGACTAAACTTCTTAGAATATATGACTGAATTTTATATCCTTCACTAGCTGGTGACATACTTGCCACATCTTGCCTTTCTGGAAATGAAACAAATCCAGAGAAAGCAGAGACAGGAGAGAGACGGATTGCCAACGATACCCATTTGAGCTCATTTCTGTCCACGTTTGATCTTTTCGGACACCCTGAGGCAGTTGAAATCAAGTTTTTATTATTTGCATCCACAAAAGTCCAGACTGTTCACATGGCCTGAGTGGTCTGGCCCCTGTCAACCTCTCCACCTCATGTCGTGCCATGTTCCCCACATTCTCTGTATGGTCTCCTACCCAAGCGACTTTGTTCTTAGTTTCCCTCGAATGTTCTTCTGAATGTTCTCCACTCCCTTCCTCCACAGTCAGATCTCAGCTACAGTGCTGCCTTCTCAGAGATTTTCCTGACTATCCGCCACAGGCCACACACTGCATACGCACTTGAACCCTAGACTGCGAGTCCTCTGAAAAGCAGGGACCACGTGTGACACATTCAGCATTGTTATCCCAGTGCCTGGCACATGCCACAGGAATCTCGGGGGCAAATTCCTTGAATGTGCCGGACTTGAATGTGCCCTCTGCCTAGAACTCTCTTTCCTCTATTCTTCGCAAGTTGACTTTTTAGTTCAGTGTCACCCCAACTATCGTCTTCTTGGAAAGGCCTTTCCTGTCTCTGAAGTCTAAAATAGATCCCCCCTTCCTCATTGTCTCTATCATGTCATTCAGTTTTGTATTCTTCATCATACTTTCACAGCCTGAGATTGCCTGTTCCGTTTTTCATACATTTGGTTATTTTCTGGTCCAAACAGAATATAAGCTCCGTGAGAGCAGGGACCATGGTTGTCTTTTTTTTTTATTATTATTATTATTTCTAGGAGAGAGAGAGAGACAGCGTGAGCAGGGGAGGGTCAGAGAGAGAGGGAGACACAGAATCTGAAACAGGCTCCAGGCTCTGAGCTGGCAGTCAGCACAGAGCCTGACGTGGGGCTCGAAACCATGAACCGCGAGATCGTGACCTAAGCGAGTCAGACGCTCAACCGACTAAGCCACTCAGGCGCCCCCATGGTTGTCTTTTTTGAAGCTTCATTCCCAGCACCCTCAGCACTGTCTAGCATATCATAGGCTCTCAATAAATATGTGTTGGCTGCCTGATTGAACGAATGAATGAATGAATGAATGAACGAATGAAAGCCAAGCACTACAAATCGCACTCATTTGAGTGCTTCACGTTAGTTCATTGTCATGACATCCTTGTGAAGTAAGCACTGCCCTATTAGCTCCATATTACGGAGAAGAAAACTGAATCTAAGAGAAGCATGTCATTGCCCAAGGTCACATTATCAGTGATTTCAGAAGCTGGAATTCAAATTCAGCTGTGCCTGGTTTGCAGATGACAATTCATCATCTATTGCTCAAAAGATCTGTTTTCATTACTCATAATGTGACTTTGGAGATCACATCTGGGCTCCAAATAGAAAAATAAGATCCCTACCTCTCCTCCTCCCCTCTCCCCCATTAACCTTATAGGCAGAGGACCCGGACAGCTGTGGCTTCTGCACCCTTAGGTGCATGGGGTGGGGCTTGCCCTGGAGGGCTCACCACACGCAAGGAAGCAGGGGAGGGCACATTATTTGTGGGCTTCAGCTCCAAAAGAGAGAGCCAAGCAGAGGCTGGCCTGGGCCAACACTAGGACCTTTCCCCTAAACTCACTAAGCAGACTGTCTCTCTTCCCAAGGGGCTGGGGCTCAGGGAGAGGAGGGAGTGAGGGCTCTGGAGAGAATGGGAGAATTATTTTCCTAATACTTCCAAGAAGGCCAAAGTTCTTGCTTTATGAATGGAAGCAATAACGTGGGGTGGGGTGGGGGAGAACATTTCCTCTGGTCCCTGTGCTGATCATAAAAGAAAAATCCTCAACTTGTAGTTGATGTTGGAGGTTGGGGTGAAAGGTGGGAATGAGGTAGATACAGAGGGATCTTACCTACATTAGCAGGGTCAGGGCTCAGCTCAGCTAATGTAATTGTATCACATCGCAAAAAATCACTCGACATCCCTGACATCCCTGCCCTACGTTGGAGTGGAATTCAAACCCCTCTTAAGGGCAAGGGCAACCCTGGGCTCTCCGAAGTTTGGTCTCCTGCACCCCTAGGCATCTCCTCCAGCAATTCTTCACACCCCAGGGCTTTGTAAATGTCACTTCTTTTCTGCCTGGTTATTTTCTATTCAACTCTCAAGATTAGGCAATTGACTAAGAGAGGCTTGAAGGCAGATAATGTCTTATTTCCTTATCCTCAGGCCTCGCAGAATGGTTGACTTCAGAGAGCATCAGTGTCAGCGGAAAGGCAACCTTGCTGGACACCTTCCTTGTGCCTCTAGGCTGTGCTGGATGGTTCTCAGGACCAGGGCACACAACAGCTCATGGCTGGATAAGTTAACAGAACTGAATTCTAATCCACATGGTCGCATGCCTAGTTCTGCTTCTGGTCCTAGATGGCCTTCAATAATCCAAAACGGATTTTCCCCCAATATTTCTGTAAAGAAGGGCATGGGATAGCACATTTGTTGTGGGGTTTAAACATTAAGGAGTTAAGAGCTGAGAAGTGCCTCCTTGATCAGCATAGAAATTAGACCATACTGACCCCTCCCATTCTTTTGTCTTTTTCCTAATCAGAGAGGAAGTGGGGGAAGAGGAAAATGGGGAATTTGAACACAAATTATGGCTTGAAATTCTTGTAATTCTCATTCCTCCGTTCATTTGTAACGAAGTACTGCTTTGTGAGATCTCAGAGTTTCCTTTTGCTTTTTACTGTTTAGCTTTCCGTGTCTGCCTTGGGTACCCTCGGCGTTAGCCCACCAGAGGATGTCTTTGTCTCTTCAGCATCCAGCACGGTGCCTTGCACATACTAGGTGCGTTCAATAAATTCTTGTTAAAGAACTATTGAATCTGTTCTGAGGCAGAAAGAAGTGAACGTGAAACGTTTCTCTCGTGATGAAAACAAACATTTCTGTTTCAGATATGAATCAGCTAGTCAGCGTCAATTTGTGCTTGTAGATGCTCACCAGGTGCAGGGAAGGGCTTGGCCGAGATTGAGAAATTCACCGCGGGAGAATAATAAAATGGGCGGAGGCTCGGAGCTGCGAGGAGGAGGCGGAGTCACCGAGAGTTTGAGTCCTTTTGTCCAATCAGAAGGTGGCGGTACAAGCAGAAGGGCGAGATAAAAGGGGGGCGGGAGCCCGAGAATCCTGCCCAGTTACACCAGCCCGCCAGCCGGAACAGCAGCTCCTCGGCTTTGGTGCTTCTCCCCCCGCGCGAGCGGCCGATTCCGAAGCGGACTCCCGCAATGGCCTTTGCAAATCTGCGGAAGGTGCTCATCAGTGATAGCCTGGACCCTTGCTGCCGGAAGATCCTGCAAGATGGAGGGCTGCAGGTGGTGGAGAAGCAGAACCTGAGCAAAGAGGAGCTCATAGCCGAGCTGCAGGTGAGGCGAGCGGGAAAAAGATGAAGGCTCGGTGGCATCCTCTGCCCAAACGGGCCGGGGCCAGCGCGCCCCCCGCCCCCAGTACCGGTCCGCCCTGGGGCCTCCTGAGAGTGGAGACTGGGGAAGGGAGGGGAAGGAGGGAGGAAAAAACAGCCGCGAGCTGCAGGATGCAAACTTTGCGTCCAGTTTGCAACCGCGTGTTTCGCGCCGGCGTGCCTTCCGCCTGCATGGGAAAGTGCGGGCTGCCCGGGTTGGTCCTGCGGGCTGCCCGCGGGCTGCCAGCGCGGCTCCCCGGAGCCTTCGCGCGCTGTGGCCCGGGCAGCCCTGCGCCGCCTCTTATCCGGGACCCCGGGGCACAGGGGGAACGGGCGCCCAAGAGGCTTCCCGGCGGGAAGCCTAGGGACGGGCAATCCTTCCCGGGCCGAGTCCTGGCTCGCCGGGCGGGCCGTGGGTGGGGGTCGTTGGCGGGGTCCCAGCCTGTCTGGAGAGGCTGCAGGCAAAGCGGCCCGGCTGGGGCAGCAAACGCCGAACCGCCTTTCGTCTGATGCAAGACTGCCGCGAGTTTTCCCCGCCCCTCGGCCTCGGGAGAGCTCTCGGAGGGAAGGGGGGCGGGCGGGGGGCGCCCGAGGTCCTCGCGCCGCCCACGCAGCCGCCGCCGCAGCCCCCGGGCTACAGGCTGTAAAGCCCCTGCCGTCCTGCCTCGCTGTTGGCCTCCTCGCTGGTCAGGAATGAGCAGCCCGGGCTCGGATCCGGTCGCAAACGCCCCCAGGACCTTTCTGTCTCTTAGAAAATCTTTCTCAGGCTTGTATCAGTTTGCCCTGGCGCACAGTTAGCGCCATCTCTTCACGTCTTCCTCCGCCTTGTTTGTAAGGGTCCTGGGAAGTTTGGTGGCCTCCTGCAGCCTTAGCGCGTTTATTTTGTGAGCTCTTCACTCTCATTCCTGCCCCCAAGCCCCCCGGGGTCGGTGCCCCACTGGCCGATGCATTCCCCCCACCCTCCAACTCCGACAGCCCCGCAGGGCCGCCTCCCACCAACCTCGCTCAGCCCCAGCGCGCATCCACCCCCTCCATTTTCGCCCCGGAGGGCGCCTTGACTCAAACCACAGAGGCGGTGCAGTGGCTTTCGTTGTGCCGGAACCACATGGTCCTGGAAACTGCCTGTGCTCCCCGTCTGCCCTCGGATCTGCGGCGGCGTTTCCCGGTGCGTGTCCCCCACTCCCCCACCGCCACCGCCACGGTGGTGTATCCAGCCCCGGCCCTGTTCTTAGAGAAGTGTCTGCCTGGTCTGTGCCTTCAAGGAGCGTGGGGACTAGTTAGGGAGCCTGGCCATCAGTCCCGAGAGTATTGACCAGATGACACAGTACTTGAGTGCCAAGGGAGACCACACAGCAGCCTAGCCTCTGCCCGATCTGTTGCTGCAAACGTGGGGACAGGGGGCTTGATCGCTTTGAATGGGGGTCGGGGACAGGGGCTCAGGACCGGATCCAAGGTAGGCGGGATGGGAGGAAGGCACCTCAGCTTGTGCCAACTCTTTTATATGGGTGCCGTCAGTGGCCTTGGCTCAAGGCAGTGGCCAGAAGACAGTGCTGTGGCCTCTAGACCAGCTTCTGACCCTCCCCTCGCCAGAGCATTCGGTTGGGAAGGGCGGCCTCCCCTGGGGCTTTGCAGACTTCTTGTGGAAATCAGAAGTCCCAATTTCTAGAATTTCCAGGGAGGGGCAGTGTGGGGTATAGGCAGAACTGAGAAGAAGTGGGGGCCTCACCAGTCCCGGAGGGGCTCTGTGAACTTGAGAAGTCGGCTGGGTGTGTTGCTGGAGTCTGGAGCTCAACTTGGAGGACATCCTAAAGGCACTGACGGCTCCTGGCAGCAGAGGAGGGGTGTTTGTCAGCTCCCCGCTGGCGGCTGGCTGGGCTGTTGGAGCCCCCAAGCCTTCGTGGCTGTCTTTGTAGAACATTCACTTCAGAATGCCAGTTAGTCCACCTAGGCAGCGCCCTGGAGGGGCCTCATTATCCTCAGCGTGTCTGTCTTCTCTGGGTGGAGAGATCTCTGATGGTGCTCCCTGCCCTCTCCCATTTAAATCCTTCTCATGCCGAGGGAAGTGGGAACTGGCCTCTGGTCCCACTCCTTGGTATTCAAGGCAGGCACAGTGTGCTCTCCACTCACTCCGTGGTGAGGAAGTACAATGACCCCCGAGAATGGTGCTTTTCAGACTCAAAGCAGTTCCTGGCGCATTGTGGGTAGTGGGTAGTTGGTTTTATGGGGCATGATTAACATTTTAAAAAAGAAAATAAGAAGTAGCAGGGAGCAAGGCAGATAGGCTGAGTATTGTATCATGAAATTTGTTTCAGCGATGTGGGCAGTTGTGGTGCCTGTGTGGTTTGTGAGCATAAAAAACCCAACTTAAACAAATGTTTCTTACTCTAAGTCCTAGTCAGAAAAGTTTGGAAAACACTGGCTTGGAATAATAAGGCATTGCGTTCGGAACTCACAAAGCTCTTAGGCTGTGTACCCCTCTTCCATCAGCAGACATGGCATCTTAAATAAACTTAGTATGCGGGAACATTAAAATCTTGCCACCTATCAGTGGGTGTTAAAATTTGACCATGACCCACAGAAAGAAATTCATTTTCTATCATCACTCAGTGTACACATATGTATGTGTACACACACACTAAACTTTCGTGAAATAATGCCTTTACTCTATGTGATACATATATTTTTGTTCAGTTTTATTGAACAGCATTGTTGGTCAGAAGCCACTAAACCACATGCTAGTAGCAATGCATTTAACTTACTGAGCATATTTGCATCCTTGTGTCAGAATTTTAAACAAAATAAGGGGAAGAACTTCCATGCAAGAGTCTATCTTTTGAAAGGCTCCGTTAAAATAGCAAGTTCCCAGCCTTTGCACAGGGATTTGATTTGCAAAAGTTAAGTAACCCTCTAATTAATCAGGGCTGCATATACAGCATCTCGCTGCATTCTCTGTATTGGGGAGCATGACCTGGAAAGTCAGGCTGCCCTCATGATTTAAGTCAGAGGTACCAGCAATGCTAAAATCACACTCAAGGCCAAGCCTGTCCTCTTTGGGAAAGGAAGCATGTTTGAACTTGAGAAATGCGAACAGCTCTCCACTGCTGAGTTAGCATGGTTTGTCTGGAACAGCTAGAAACCCAGCAGAGCGCTGGCGGGTCTCCAGCTCGAAGGCAGCTGCAGAGAGCAAGAGACGGCAGAGTGGGTGCAGTGTCAAGAGGTGCCAGGGTGGACAGCAGGACACTGGGGGAGAAAGGTGTCCCCACAGCCTGCACAAAGGACGTGAGCAGACTGGCAAGGGGCTGCAGTTTGCCTAAGCAGAGGAGCACTCAGCTTGGAGCCGGGTCTTGGAGGGATGACCTGTAACCTGAGGAGGGGAATGGCACCTAGGGGTGCAGGGGTTTTGAGGGAGCGGAGCACCAGGAGGCCCTCAAGAAATACACGCTGATTGAAGCAGTCAATCGATGATGCGCTTGAGTGAAGAACTGAATGAATTGGCGGTAGTTGAGGGGGTAAGAGAACTTGGAAACCAGCGAAGCCTGGCCATGTGGGGTTTGGTGCCCTGGGTGGGACCAGGGTCAGCTGAAGGGCCGTCTCCAAGAGCACATTCTCTTCTTGGGACCGGGGAGGTCTGAATGAACATCTGTACCAGTCGGACTGGAGACTCTTCAGACTTCTGGCTTCAGAGGAAGCTGGTTTGAGGATTTGAGGGCATCACCCTTGAGGCGACAAGCATGGAGAGATGACAGTGACAGTCCATTAGGGAAATTTTCCAGTGGGAAACCGATTCCTAAGGTTAGGGGAGGGCGGGGTCTTTGGAGAAAGCATTTGAGAAGGCCAGATTCTAGAGGCCCAAGAGCATGATTGGGGATGGGGTCGAGCATCTGGAGCAGGACTGGGCCTCAGATTGGGGGCCCAGGAACTTAATACTAGAAGGTTGTGATGCTTTGGGTGATCCTGCTCCCAGGCCTGCTTCTTGTCAGCGGAACCTTGACCCTTGGTCCTGGACTGGTCCCTTCAAAGGAGGTTTTACTCTGTCTGCACTGTGTTACCAATGACCTGAGGTGCCATGGCTGGTGGTAAAGGAATGCGCAGTAGAAATGTGCTTACTTGCTGCCAGATTGCTCTCTGGAAAGTTCCTGCGGTTTATGCCATGTCCCTCCACTCTCACCCACACTGAATACTATCACTTTTCATTTTGCCAATATGATGCCTGGAAATCCCACATTTTATTTTATTTTTATTTTTTGAATGTTTATTTATTTTTGAGAGAGAGAGACAGAGTACAAGTTGGGGAGGGGCAGAGAGAGAGGGAGACACATAATCTGAAGCAGGCTCCAGGCTGCAAGCTGTCAGCACAGAGACCAACATGGGGCTCGAACCCAGGAACCGTGAGATCATGTCCTGAGCCGAAGTCGGACGCTTAACCGACTGAGCCAACCAGGCGCCCCTGAAAAGACCACATTTTAAAATTTACATTTTCTTGGGGCACCTGGGTGGCTCAGTCGGTTAAACGTCTGACCCTTGATTTTGGCTCAGGTCATGATCTTGCGGTTTCTGAGATCAAGACCCACATGGGGCTCCTCGCTGAGCGTGTAGCTTGCTTAAGATTCTTTCTCGCACGCGTGTTCTCTCTCCCTGTCTCTCAAAAATAAAAAAATAAAATTACATTTTCTTGATATCTAATGTTTGAGTCTTTGTAAATTCCTGGCCACTTTGTATTTCTCCTGTGAAATGCCTGCTTAGACCTTTGCCTTTTTTTTTATCATTCAAAAAAATGATTTGTAGGAAGCCTTGATTATTTCTGGGGATGAGGCATTGCTCTGTTATACCTGATGCAAAGAGTTTTTCCGCCTATTAAGTGGTGCCTTTGACTTTGTTTAGGTTTCCATGGCCTTTCAAATCACTGAGTTCATTTATTCAATGGAGTATTTTAGCTATTAAAATAATAACTTATTATCCAAAAATAAGTTATCAGCTATTAAAATAATCCTGCTTTAGAGATGTAGCCTATGGATGAGGGACCCCGTTGCAGGTCAGACCGAGGACACCTGAATGTAAAACAGATGCTACGAGAATAGGGGGAGGGAGTGATATTGAATCCAGGGTTGTTGGCAAAGGCTTCATGGAAGGGGGTGTTCACTGTGCCTTGAAAAGTTGGTCGTGGCTGGCCAGCCAGGGGGATCCTTTTCTTTGGAGCCATGTGCAGTGGATTTGAATGTGGGGCAGTCAGCAGTTGTCCCCGTCTGCCCAGGCCTTGGCTGATGTTCAACTAGGCTGCTTTATAGGGAGGCATTCCAGGCACCCTCGAGATTCCCCCTGGCGTTAGCCACTGCTGGCAGTGAGGCCAAATGGGGTGACTCCTGTGTGGTTCCTCTAACTTTGCCGTGTGCGTGTGCCGTGTGCACTCTGAGCTCACCGCATACGTGTGTCCTGGTGAGTTTCTGCACGTCTGTCGCTGTGAGTCCTTGGGGGGGGGGGGGGGCTGTGACTTACTCCTCTTGTATGGACAAGAATCTAGCATAATGCCAGGTGCATACCTACCAGGCGCCCCACGGATGGAAGGAAGGCATAAGAAGGGCAGGAAAAGGGGACACGGGCATCCTTAATTTTGTTGGGCTTCTGTTTCTCATCTGTGAAATGCACTTGGACCAGAGGCTGATCAAGTGTTTCTTGGAGTCTCACATTTTGGGGTTCTGTTGCAGAACTGCGGACATGAAAGGGCTTGGGCTGCCTGGGAGGGGCCCTGCATCTGGCTGGCTGTGGTCAGGCATGGACCCCACCAGGGAGCATGCACAAGGCATAATAGGCACCCCCGGAGGAATAATTTCACAACCTTGGTCGAATAGTCAGTGCAGTGCTTGGAAGCCCCCGTACTGAGCTCCTCTGTGTGGAGCCTGAGGAGCCTGATGTTGTGGCCTTTCTCTGTCCTCTCAGTGCCTATGGTGGGTGGGGGAGGGAGAAGGTTCTCCTGGAGAGGCTCACGTCGGTGGGGTCGTGTCAGATCAGATGTGGTGCTACTGTTCTCGCCCTCTTGTTTTACAGGTGAAGACAGGGGTGGGGCAGGTGACTTAGCACCGTGATCCGCCTTATCCTTGGCAGACCGGTAACTGCAACCCCAGCCTCCCGACCCCCAGCTTCCTGCTTTTGCAACAGCACTCACCTCCGCAGCAGCCCTGGAAAGCCAGTTTGGGGTACATTTCCTGGGGACGCTCATCCAAGTGTTTGGGCAACACTATCCTTTTTTTTTTTTTTTTTTTATGAATATAATTTATTATCAAGTTGGCTTCCATACAACACCCAGTGCTCATCCCCACAAGTGCCCACCTCCATGCCCATCACCCACTTTCCCCTCCCCCCCACACCTCCATCCACCCTCACTTTGTTCTCTGTATTTAAGAGCCTCTTGTGGTTTGCCTCCCTCCCTCTCTGTTTGTGACTATTTTTTCCCCTTTCCTCCCCCCATGGTCTTCTGTTAAGTTTCTCAAGATTCACATATGAGTGAAAACATATGGTATCTGTCCTTCTCTGACTGACTTATTTCACTCAGCATAATACCTTCTAGTTCCATCCACGTAGGCAACAGTATCCTTATTAGGAGAGCATTATCACGAGACTCTGGAAGAGCCTAAGAAAGATTATCTTGAGGTCTAACTTAGCACAAATAAAGCGCCTTCAATGAATCCAGAAAGTATTTATTTTTTGCATATGTATATTTTTAGTCTAAAACGGCCTGTGTTTCTGACCAGCTACAGACACTGGTTTAATTGTTCTCCCTTCGTCCCCTTACTTTGGATCTTATTTTAGGAAATGACTTTCAACAGTTTGTCTTTTGTTCACTTTTTAGTCACTCAGCCAGCCAGTGCTTACCGAGTGCTTCACATGTGCCAGTCCTAGGGGCTTACAAAGTAGAACTCAGTGCCACCTCTCCCATTCAGCAGCAGTGTCCGATGGAGGAGGTCATGTCCGTTGAGCGGGGCAGTGTCCGATGGAGGAGGTCATGTCCGTTGAGCGGGGCAGTGTCCGATGGAGGAGGTCATGTCCGTTGAGCGGGGCAGTGTCCGATGGAAGAGGTCATGTCCGTTGAGCGGGGCAGTGTCTGATGGAGGAGGGCATGTCCATTGAGCAGGGCAGTGTCCTATGGAGGAGGTCATATCCGTTGAGTGGAGCCAGATAGCATGCCAGGTGCTACCTGTCCTAACTCATTTCCTCCTCATGCACTGGAGGAGGCCAGATCTCAGATCCTTAGCTCCTGGGGGATGCAGCTTGGACTTGACTCCAGGCCTGACTGACTCCAAGCCTTCCTTACTTGGAATATATCCAAAATCAGCCAGCAGGCAAGAACTCCCACTAGGGGCAAAGAGGGGCTACGAGGTCTGGAAGACCAACCGCGGACCCAGATGTTTCTTCTGCCTCAGGACTGCGAAGGACTCATCGTCCGCTCGGCCACCAAGGTGACTGCTGACGTCATCAACGCAGCGGAGAAGCTCCAGGTGGTGGGCAGAGCTGGCACAGGTGTGGACAACGTTGACCTGGAGGCTGCCACCAGGAAGGGCGTTCTGGTCATGAAGTGAGTCGTGGGGCCTGGGAGTGGGTGTGGAGGCTCCCCGTGAAGGGGGAGGGGAAACCGGGAAGGCCAGGGCAGAGGAGGAAGGGCTTCCGGAACGATGGCTGGTCCAGGCTAAGTCCAGACTGGTGCTCCGCGCTCACATGTAGTGGTTCCCCAGGTGTTTGACTGCGAGGCTGTCTGAGCTCGCAGATCACTTCCCGAACCCACCCCACAGATGTCTGAACAGCAGCCTGGTTCGGGAATCAGAAGGACGTTAGTGAATTTATCTGCGTTCCCTGCCCAGCCCCTGCCCCTCCGTTGTTTTGTCTGGGGCCAGGTTTCCTGAGCCCTGCTTGGTAGAGCACAGCCTTTGCCTGTTGAATGACTCCGTTCTTTCCCTTTCTCACGTTCCCCACACCCTCTGCAGCCAGGACCCAGGTGCTCTTTCACGCTCCAGGGCCAAGAGGGAAAGGGTCCCTGTTGGAGCTGTTTTTGCAGAAACTCAGAGCAGAGGTCAGGACTGACCAGGGCAAGGCCCCACTCGTTTCCGGCTCCCATCTGACACATAGATGGCATGGCAAGGTTATTCTAACCCACTTCTTTGTCCCCGAGCCTCTTTCCCTTCCCTTGGGAAGCTGCGTCCTCAACATCTTGCCCCCCTTTCCCTCCACTTCCTCCTATAGCCTAGGGGTTAATTGGTCATCGGAGGTCAGTATCCAGCAGAAGCAATGTTAGATGGTAGCCCATCCTGCATTCTCGCCCTGGACCCAGAGGCAATGCCCCCAGTCCTGCGCCTCCTCCAGCCTCCCAGTCTAGCCTTTTCGCTAAGTGGAAAGACAGACTCTGAGAATCCTTTTATCTTGACCTTTTTTTTTGCTAGGCTCTCTTGACTTTTTCCTCCTTATAATCTTCATTTCCAGGGATGCAAAGATCCAATAAAGGAAAATGGAGGCTGAACATGCCTGTTAATAAAGTATTCCAAAACCAAAAAAAAAAAAAAAGGGGGGGGGGCGGGGAGAAAGAGCCTCTGAGAAAAGAAAACTAGTACCTGACATGGGTTTCAGCTCTATTCTCCTTTGTGAAATGGGAAGACTCAGCATGAAGATGTGAGGAAGCTTTCTCACTTCAGAACTTGTTGAGAGATAGGAGAAGTCAACCAGGTGGAGATAAAAATACTAGCTTTGTTATTGATAGAAGCCAGGCTGGGCCACTTGATGAAGGTGTGTGGCCAGTGGACTGTCTTGAATTTGATGGACGTGCTCACCCATCTCGGGCATGGCCCCCATAAGATGGATGGCACAGAACAGCGGGAATCTGGGCTTCCTGTAGGCAGGTAGTTCCTGAAAGGAGAGCAAAGGAAAGGGCTGAGCCACACCTGTGTCTCCCAATCGAGTGAGACCCTTCTCTGTGCAGGGAGAAGGGAGTTTGGGTAGAGAGGCCAAGTGTGTTTCTCTAAGGGATGTCCCTCCGCATGAAAACAGCCAGGGCAGAGGGGGTTTCCTTCTAGCCCTGGGATTAGGGGAGGGGTCCATCGGAGAACCTAGGGTGGGGGCATGGGTTTGGAAGTGGTAAGAGCCGGTGAGGTGAGGGAGAGTGAGCACACTGCACTCAAGGCTTTCCGTTGGGACAGGAGTGGAAATACGGGGTCTGGACCTACTAAAGTCTCCTCTCTCCTTTGCTCTTCAGCACCCCCAATGGGAATAGCCTCAGCGCTGCAGAGCTCACCTGTGGGATGATCATGTGTCTGGCCAGGTAAGTCCCTGACTCCTCAGCAGAGCCCATCTCCTGGGTGTGTCCGTTATTATGACCTCCCTAAACAAAGTGACCTGGAGACACTTGGCAACATGCAGACTGCAAAGAACCGTCAAGGCCATCAGGACTGTAGGGATCATTCGATGCACTGGTTCTAGTGCACAAAGGTCAGGTGGCTTCTTGCAAGTGGGAGGGGGGCTCGGCGTGACTGCTCAGTACCTGGGAGCAAGCTCATTGAGCAAATAACTGTGTATTCTCTTCCTTTTCTCGTTAGTCATTTCCTGCTGTCCACTGTCTACATCATCCTCTGGCTTTTCAAACTCTAAGCCTCAAAAATGCAGTTTCTCCTCCCTGGAATATCCTTCCCCATTGTCTCTTTTTTCCTAAGTCATCCAGTACTTTCTTTTTATCACACTCATTATTAAAAATTCAAATAGGGGCGCCTGGGTGGCTCAGTCGGTCCACTTTGGCTCAGGTCATGTTCTCACGTTTCGTGGTTTCAAACCTCGCATCTGGCTCTGTGCTGACAGCTCAGAGCCTGGAGCCTGCTTTAGATTCTGTGTCTCCCTCTCTCTCTGCCTCTCCCCCACTCGCGCCTGTCTCTCAAAAATAAATAAACATTAAAAATTTTTTAAAAATTCAATTAACTTTACACAGATGTAAAATAGAAGAAGCGCTCAACATTTTTATTTACTTGGGAACATTTTTGAGTGAACTAATGCCAGAATGTAACAGCTTCCATGCCTGAGAGACTTCTCACTCAACAGAGGTTCCCAGACTTTGCTGCACATTGATATCATCTGAGATGAGAATATTAATGCCTAGCTTACATACCCCAAATTCTGATTTAATTGGCATGGAGTGGAACTTGGCATTGGGATTTTTTAATAAACTTTTTTTTTTAAGTTTATCTATTTGGAGGATGGGTAGCAGCAGAGAGAAGGAGAGAGGATCCCAAGCAGGCTCCACACCATCATGACGCCTGATCCCATGAACCGTGTGATCGTGATGTGAACTGAAATCAAGAGTCAGACGCTTAGCCAACTGAGCCACCCAGGTGTTCCAATAAACTTTTTATTTCAGGAGTTTTAGATATACAGAAAAGTTGTAAAGGTAGTAGAGTTCCCATATACCTCATACTCAGTCTCCCCTATTATTAATATCTTACATTAGTATGGTGGATTGGTCACAATCAATGAGCCAATATTGAAATATTGATACTTATTTTTTAATGACAAAACTGAGATTTAAAACAATTTTTTAATGTGTATTTATTTTTGAGAGAGAGAGACAATTAGGGGAGGGGCAGAGAGAGAGAGAGAGAGAGAGAGACACATAGAATCCAAAGCAGGCTCCAGGCTCCAAGCTCTCAGTACACAGCCCGATGCAGGGCTTGAACTCATGCACCCTGAGATCATGACCTGAGGGAAAGTCGAACGCTTAACTGACTGAGCCACTCAGGCGCCCCTGATATACAATTTTTTTTTAAAAAACAAAGGGTAAACGTTTATTTGGAGTTAGTTTTTTGGTCCTGATACACAATTTTTAACTAAAGTCTCCTCCATCATCTTTCTCTGGGTAACTCTTCTTCTCAAGATGAAGCATGAGTGTTAAGTTGTCTAAGAAGCTCTCTCTAGATCCCCCAGCTAGGCTGTGTCCCTCTCTGACTCCCCTGGCCTTCAGGAGTCACTGTCCTGTGTCACTGTCCCTACAGCTGTCTATTGTAACAGCATGTAGCAAAAGCCGCTCTGGGCTCACTGTACCTACCTGTGGATTCTTAACACAAGGGAACTCAAATGGTCAAATGCCTTGCTCTCCCAGCAGGAATTCTGGGAGTACGGGCCTCTTGAGTAGAGGGGACAGCCTAGGAACTCATGGATATGACACATAATGTAGTAAAATGATGGTATTGAGCACTACTGTTGAATAGGCCATTCAGGCACTTCTGTGGTCAGTAGGGAGGGCAAGGAGCCAGCAGACAGGCCAGAAAGCTCGCTGGGTCCCTTCACACACTCTTAGATGCTAAACCAGAGGAACTCAGGGAGCCAGGGCTCCGTACTTAATCTACTCAGGCCTGAAGCTTCTCTGGCTCAGAAATTAACTCTCTCCCTCTTAGACCTGCTCTCCTTCTTGCTGCGACAGGGTCTGGAGGGGTTCAACTTTGTTCTAACTCTTCCCCAAGATTTCCGCCTGAACTCTTAGATGTTCACTGATACTCACTGGCCAGTGAAGATGGGAGGAGACTGGAGAAAAGAGCTTAGAAGGGGTCCTTGAGCTGGCTGTCTGCAACTTGTAGAACCCCTGGGCTGGATGTATTTCTCCCTGGAGAAGTGCAATGGCCGCATGCCCTGGTTTCACTTGTGCAGTTAAAACCAGTGGTGTTCTTGGTTTTTGAGTGAGGGACGTCTCTGTCAGCTTCCGGTCTAATTAATTCTCTTACTTTTTTTCTGGAGTGGAAGGAAAGGCTTGGAAGCCAGGAATAATTTTTCTCCTGTTCTAGGACCAAACTTTATTGAAAGGAACAGGTAAATTAGAAGGATTTCAAGGAAGTGTCCCATTTCCAACCTCTCATCCAACAACCTTACTCATCAAGGATACATCAAAACTAAGAAACGAGCACCCTGTGGGGCCCCTGAGTGGCTCAGTCGGTTGAGCGTCCAACTTTGGCTCAGGTCATGATCCCACGGTTCGTGGGTTCGAGCCCCATGTTGGGCTCTGTGCTGGCAGCTCAGAGTCTGCTTCGGATCTTCTGTTCCGCTCTTTCTATGCCTCTTGGAAGGAAGGAAGGAAGCAAGCAAGCAAGCATGCACCCTCTGAAGGTGGAACAGCCAGTCTCTCATACCTTCTCATATGTTTGCTCAGACTGCTTTTCCGGCAGAGCAGCGACCGCACAACGGGAGCCGTGGACGTAAGGTTGAGAGCATTGAGCAATGTGGGTGGGATGGGCCTCACGGTGGGGACTTTGAACAGGCGGCAGGAGTTCCTGAGGTGCAGGAGAAGAACAGTGACACAGAAAGAGAGGAGAACGCCACCTATGTAGATTTCATCTTCCCGCCTTTACCTTCTCCTTCGTGAGTCAGCCCAGCTACCACTTGGTTCTCCGGAGACCCCTCGCCCCCATCATGGTCCTCCCCAGACTGGCCCTGAGAGGACCCTGAAATGTTAAAGCCTGGGGAGGATTCATGAGGGTCTGGGAATGTCTTGTGCCCCCCGGTGCCACACGCACCTCTCTTAGACAGCACTGGTGGCTCGGGAGGGCAGAGTAGGGCCTGAGCCAGGCCTGAGAGGGAGTGGGTGGGCTCCGTGTCACTAGGCCAGAGGCATGTTCTCAGGCTAGCTTTGCCGAGAAGGAAGCACTTCCTCAAGGCAAGTCGTTGTCCTTGGGACAGTCCTGAAATGAGGACCCGCTACTGAGCCCTGATGGGCCTAATGGGAGCTTCTCCCCAAGAAGCCTGTTACTCAAGCTTTGTGAGCTTACCTGTGACATCCCAGGGACACAGATGTCCCCGCAGGCTGACCTTCAGATGGAAGTGTGTCGGCAACGTGTAGACAGGAGTACTTTTTTTTTTTTTTTAAATTTATTTCTAGGAGAGAGAGAGAGACAATGTGAGCAGGGGAGGGTCAGAGAGAGAGGGAGTCACAGACTGAAACAGGCTCCAGGCTCCGAGCTGGCAGTCAGCACAGAGCCCGACGCGGGGCTCGAACCCACGAACCGCGAGATCATGACCTAAGCGAAAGTCGGACGCTTAACCGACTAAGCCACCCAGGCGCCCCAGGAGTACATTTTTTATAAGAATTCAGGGAGATGGAGATACAGGGACAGCATGTTGGAATCTCTCTTTACACACGTGTGCCTGTGCGCATGCACACACACAACACATAAACCCACACACACACACACACACACACACACACAGCCCGCCCTGAGTTTAGTGGCTGGCGGGAAAGACTGCATTTCAGTACTTCGGAGACTAGCTGTGGAGGGGATGTCCTTGGCTTTGAGTCAGTGCAGCTACTTCCATTGGGGTGAGGCTGTTCAGGGTGTTTAATGCTCCCGTTGTCTCTCTGCAGGCAGTTGTGAGCATTACAGGGGCTAAGATGCACCTAAGTATTTCTTTTTTTTTTTTCTTTAAGTTTATTTTTTTTTATTTTGAGAGAGAGAGAAAGCGAGCTCTTGGGGGAGGGGGGGAGAATCCCAAGCTGGCTCCATGCTGTTGGCTCAAAGCCCAGTGTAGGGCTTGAACCATGAACCATGAGATCATGACCCAAGCCAAAACCAAGAGTCAGATGCTTAACCAACTGAGCCACCTGGGAACCCCTTGTCTATGTGTTTATGGAGTGTCTAAAAAGAAAATAAATAGTTTTTTAATGTTTATTTATTTTTGAGAGAAAGAGACAGAGTGTGAGCCGGGAAGGGGCAGAGAGAGAGGGAGACACAGAATCCAAAGCAGGCTCCAGGCTCTGGGCTGTCAGCATAGATCTAGCCTGATGTCAGGCTCGAACTCATGAACTGTGAGATCATGATCTGAGCTGACGTTGGACGCTTAACTGACTAAGCCACCCAGGTGCCCGCTCCTTAAACATTTTAAACATTGTTTCCTGTCTTCCTTTTTCACTTCCAGAGAAGCCTGGATGACATGATCTTACCCTCTCACTTCTGACTCTGCCCTAACTTTCTTTGTCCCTTCCAGAAGATAGGTGGAAACTCAGACCTTCATGTTAACCAACAGGAGGACATAGGCTGGGTGCTGGGACAGGGGTCAATATGGACCCCTCACCCCCACCCCTCCATCCCAGGGTAGCCTGAAACAGCTGTGGCTTAAGAAACTCTCAACAAGCAATTAAATAACCAGCTGTCTGTTGATACAGTGGAAGATGTAGGTTGCAGCCTTGGATGGAAAAGGAAAAAGAAAATCCTTGAACTTCCTTGATGAACTTGATGTGATTAGAATTGCTCAATACCCCATTTTGTTATCCCCGGGAACCCCAGAGGGTTGGCTCTTACTTCTTACATGCCTAGAGTCGCTCAGTGTTGAGGTGGAATCAGAACCTCTACCCAGAGTCCTGGCCAGAGACAGAAATCCCAGGGAGACAGAAATCCCAGGGCTCCTGTCAGGCCTCGCTGGGGGTTTCCCTCTGCTCCACTCCCTCGACCCTCCTCGGGGTCTCTGCACCTGAGCTCCAGACCCAGCCTGAGCTTGGTTCCCCAGGGGAATGATGGGCAGAGGTTGTGGCTGTGCAGCCCTCCCCTTCCGCGTGCCCCCTCCCCGCCCCCCTCAGCCTGTGTCTGTGTCCTTGCAGACAGATTCCCCAGGCGACAGCTTCCATGAAGGACGGCAAATGGGAACGGAAGAAGGTGAGCAGCCGCCCCACCCCGCCCCACGTGCCTTGGTGCCCGGGGTCCACTCTGCCGCTCACTTTGGCTTCTTTGCCTTTTGCTTATTCGGTTACAGTTCATGGGAACAGAGCTCAGTGGAAAGATCCTGGGAATTCTTGGCCTGGGCAGGATTGGGAGAGAGGTGGCCACTCGTATGCAGTCTTTCGGGATGAAGGTAAGAGGTTGGTGAACCCCTTGGACGTCGGGCTCTCTGTAGCAGTTTCAGGGGAGAGGCAGCTTTGCTTGAGAGAAAGTCCAGGCTTTTTCCTAGGAGGCTCTGACCCTCCTGTAGAGCCCCTAAGTAGGCAGTGTAGCCGGGGAGGGGAGGGATGTTGGCCTGCCATTCTGAATGCCTGGCCTCAAAATCTGGGAATAACTTGGTGGAGGCCGCTCAGCTCTGGGGGGAGTGATTGCCCTGAGTCCCGGTGGAGCCGAGGGTCTGTGTCCTCCCCCGCCATGAGGGCTTCTTGTTTTGCTGTGTCTGAATTCCCTGTGAGAATTCAGAAAAACAGGAGCATATTTGCAGCCGTAGAACAGAGTAGCTCTCCATCCACCAGTGGGCTTCCCTCTGAAGTGCAGAAGAGACAGCAAGTGCTTCCGCATGTGCCGTGATGCGATGTTCAAGCCTGCGGTGGCTGGAGCACCTCCCGTATTTCTCAGAAATCCTCCCTGAGCGCCGTCTCCCTCCAGGACCCGCTTTATCATATCTGGGAACTCTGGTTCTGGGTGAGGGAGAGCTGTCAAAGTCAAGAGCAGTGTCATCCCCTCAGGACGGCCCAGAAGACTTCGAGAAGGGGAGGCTGCCGAGCCACACAGAGGAGGGCACCTTGAGGCAGCTCAGGGTGCTGGCTGACACCTCCTTATTCGCAGGGGCTGTTGGGGGGGGATCGTGTGTTCAAACTGTAGCCAGGAAGCCTGTCATTAAACATCAAGGAAAAAGTTTCGACAATCAGATCTTTTCTAGAAAAGTTTACATAGAGCCGCGGTGGCATTCTCCCTTTCTCCCCTCCTTCCTCCCTGTCTTGTGTTCCCTCCCGCCCGCCCGCTTCACAGAGTTAGAAGAGACCTTATAGATTAACCCTTAATTTTATACGGATGTCTGGAGTTTGTAAGTATTTGCTAAGGCCTCCAGCAAACAGAAGATAGACAAGAACCCAGCTGGGCATCCCGTTATACCACGTCGAACGTCTCCCTCCTGCCCCCCTTCCCCACCACATTTATTTACGCCAGCCAGATGTCTTCCCTAAGCCTCGGCACATTGTTCTAGGTCCCTGGCCTGGCAGGATCTGCTGGTCATGAGAACATAACCAAAGTAGTCCCTTCAGTGCAGAGATGGCGAGGTACCCTGTAAGCTGAAAGCTATGCTTTCTCTTCCTCTTTTTTTGAGAGATTAAGGTAAAGGCTTGGCTCTAGAAGCCGGGGGCCAAGTGAAGTAAGAACTTCACTGATGACACAGCGACTTGGAGAAGGTTGGGACAGCGGCCATCCAGTAGGCTCACTCCCCTTCCCCACGGCACACCGGACTCCCTGCACACTCTGAGGGGGTGCGTCTTCTGTACATTGTAACACGTAGCTGCTTCACTTGGGGGGGGGTCTCTGAAGGGTCACTGTTGGTTGTCTTGCTTTTGGGACAGGATCCTTGTAAACCCCTGAAACATACCTTGGAATGCCTCCCCCCGCCCCCGCCCTTGACAGCAGCCCTGGTCACTTCCGAGTGGCCCAGGGGGCCCTTGTTTATACTCACTGTGCACTTTGACAAGCTTCCTAACGTATTCCGAGTCCACATGAATTTTGCCGCAGGGCAGACAGATGGCTGGCCTGCGGGTTGCAGAGACCCTCATTGATGTGAGCAGTTGTGAAGAGCAAGATTTTCTAAAGGGCAAAGAGGGGAGATGGTTGAACAGACTGTGAAAGAGCCGGTTTGTCAGCATCTGGGCAGGAAACCATGATCGGTGTTCACTACACAGCTTGTTTTACATGCGCCTTGTTCTGTCTTTGGAAACCAATCATAGCCTGATTGATCATGGAAATCCCCAGAGGTCTTTTTTATTTGGGTGATTTAAAATTTTAAAAAAATTTTTAAGGTTTATTTTTACTTTTGAGAGAGAGAGAGAGAGAGGCAGAGCATGAGCAAGGGAGCTAGCAGAGAGAGAGAGACATAGAATCCAAAGCAGCTCCAGGCTTCGAGCTGTCAGCACAGAGCCCGACGTGGGGCTCGAACTCAGGAACCGTGAGATCATGACCTGATCTGAAGCCGGATGCTTAACCAACTGAGCCACCCAGGTGCCCCTAAAATTTTATTTTAATCAATAGGTGAATGCATTCTTACGAAAGCTGAAATCTAGATCCTTATCTCCTTGAGTACCTCCCCAATCTTGGTCTCACAGGAAACATCAGTTTGGTGTGTATCACCTTGGACTTTCTTCTATGCATTTACATGGAATGCACACCGTTCTTTGCCTATAGAGGGATTCTGTGCCTATTGAGAACAGACTATTATACATGCTGCTAACATAAAAATGTATGTCTTGTAACAAATACATGTACCATATTTTTAAACTATTGCGTGGAATTCTATTGTGTAGGCAAATTGCTTTTTATTTGGCCACTTCCTCAGGGATGGACGTTTAGATGGCTTGGAAATGTGGACTTAAGGAAGACATTGGTGAGGTCTTTCATGATACCCTTGGGGTTAAGATGGAAAGTATGAGCTGGGTGCTAAGGCTTTAGCTGAAGTCTTTGGTCAAAGATAGCCCTGTCTCCATCTGGAGGGAGCTGGTCCACAATGGTGAAAGGCTCTGCTTTCTTTTTCATCAGTGGCCCGTATGACAGGAAGCAGGGAGAGATGGTTAATTCCTTTTTTTTTTTTAATGTTTTATTTATTTATTTATTTATTTATTTATTTATTATTTCTAGGAGAGAGAGAGAGAGACAGCATGAGCAGGGGAGGGTCAGAGAGAGAGGGAGCCACAGACGCGGGGCTCGAACCCACGAACCGCGAGATCATGACCTAAGCGAAAGTCGGACGCTTAACCAACTAAGCCACCCAGGCGCCCCATGTTTTATTTATTTCTGAGAGAGAGAGAGAGAGACAGCGTGAATAGGGGAGGGTCAGAGAGAGACGAAGACACAGAATCTAAAGCAGGCTCCAGGCTAGCTGCCAGCACAGAGCCCAACACGGCGCTCGAACCCACGAGCTGGGAGATCATGACCTGAGCCAAAGTCAGGCACTTAACCAACTAAGCCACCCAGGCATCCCAGAGATGGTTAATTCTTAAGAATGTGGAGTTAGGTCCTAAAAGACGTTAAAAAGGCTAGAATGCTAGTTATGCATCCTAATAGGAAGTCTAGCTAGAATACCTGTCAGCGCCCTACATATGGATCCCCAAAGCAACTAAACATATTAGATGTAGAGGTGTTGTTAAAAAGCTTTTGTAAGAGAGGAGACCTTTGGTAGACAGAAATGCAGTATAGTTAAAAGTAGCATGGCTGATAGAAAAGGTAATAGGACTTTTGGCAGCATTAAAAGAAATACGGCTTCCAGAACAAGGAAGGTGACATTCCTTATGCTGTGTACAGTCAGACGGCGAAGTCTTGTGAACCCATGCTCTGTGAGACTGAAAGTTCTGGAGGTGGAAGGTGATGGTTTGAGGCTCGTGTCTGTACTTCCTAAGCAAGGGTTGAAGGTACTGGGGTCACTGAGCCCCATAGTGACTTGGGAAGCAACCTAGGAGGTTCCCAAATAGCTAACAGCCAGTCTGTGGAAGAGTGTAGTGCTCTAAGCCATGGATCCAGGGAGAACCAACAGACTCAAGCCGGAGGGGACAGAGCTACAGCCAGAACTGGCCCCAGACGGAAGGGAGAGAGCTAAGCCTCCCACTCATGCAGAGGCACCTGTGAGACTGGTTAAGTGCCTGGCCAGCATGAGGACGAGGTGGAGGCATTGGCAGAGAGGTAGAAGCAGATGGCCTGCAAAGCTCTGATATCTCCAAGCACCTGTTACCCACAGGCTGCACATTTCTTTTTTTTTTTTTCTTTTTTAATATTTTTTTTATTTATTTCTAGGAGAGAGAGAGAGAGAGAGACAGCGTGAGCAGGGGAGGGTCAGAGAGAGAGGGAGTCACAGACTGAAACAGGCTCCAGGCTCCGAGCTGGCAGTCAGCACAGAGCCCGACGCGGGGCTCGAACCCACGAACCGCGAGATCATGACCTAAGCGAAAGTCGGACGCTTAACCGACTAAGCCACCCAGGTGCCCCACAGGCTGCACATTTCTTTATAACTTAGCAGGAGGTTCACTCTGCGGTAATTGGAAACAGGATAAAATTATTAAGGACTGTGGTTTGTTACAGGAACTTGGGAGAATGCCGTGATTAAGGACAGAGTGGACCAGGAAGCAGAGGCGGCCCTGAGTAGTCCCGTTGGGCAGTTTAGGCAACAGCAAAGCATGTGAAGATTATCTTTATCACCCACTCCCCTCCTTGGCCCTGGGGGCTTACCCTGTGCTTTAATCTGTCACCCAGGCTGTTAATCACTAATGAGGTTGTTAATGGATGACTAACTTCCAGCCCCTTCCAGAGTATTGTGATTTAAGAGTTGACCCCTTCATGTCACAGGAGAGATTGTCAGAGACTCTTCCATGCTCAGATGTTGGGGATAGACTGCCCCCTTTCCTGTCCTTTCTTTGTCACCTCTGGTCACTTAGGGAAGGCGGGGGGGGTGGTATCCTGGACATTGGCTCTGCTAGGGAGCTTAGCCGCCTGGCTTCCCAGCAGCCCCGGGTTGAGTGGGTGTTGGGGCTGGTTGGGGGAGAGCCCCCCCCCCTTTTGCTGCTGTTCCCAACCAGCACAGGCCCGGAAGGGGACTTCCCAGGCCCCCTGAGAGCAGCTGCTGACTTGCTCTGAGCCACATGTGTGTTTCTGGAGAATTCTGGCCGCCGGTAGCCTGCTGGTGGTCTGAGTCACCTATCTGAGTCTCGGGCTCTATAGTATTCTTTCTGCCTGAATATTTTTCTCAACCTTGTTGGTGCATAACACGCTGTACACTCGGAGACCTTCATGCCAGCATGCCCCCTAGAATGTGCGATCGGACCCGAGCCCGCCAGGAGCTGAGCCTTGTACTCCTGTCCAAAGTTTTTTTTTTTCTGAGGAGCAGACAAGCATCTCTTAACAGTTACT